TATAAATATAATGAATGAATGAATCTTTATTAAGGCAAATTCAACAAACGCGAAAAAATTCAACAAACGTGAAAACGCGATATACACTCAATTGCAGGAAGGTTGTAGTATACATTTATGCATATATACGAATATCCGTATGAGATGCAAAAATGAAAGAACTCCTAAAATATGATCGTGTATATATTGTTATAAAATCCATGAATAATTAATTAGGGTTTTGACCAATCAACTTTATGAAACCAATTCTCCCAGGCAGCTTGTAAACTCCATACAAACCTAAAGCACGGGGAGGGCTTGAAGAGCTGGCAGGGAAAGCTAGGGTAGCCTGCGTCGCATCCGGAATTTTCTTCAGGCTAAGCTAGGGGTGAATGAATCAACACAATGAAAATGCAAATTAGTTACAACCACTAGTGGTTGTTACAAAAACAGTATACTACCACTAGTGGTTGTTACAAAAACAGTACACAACACCTAGCTTGAACTGTAAGAAATTAGCATAATCATTACTGTGACTTAAAATGAATAAGGAAAAAATGGCTACATGTACAAGACATTTTGATTTATTTAATTCTTCAAAGTTCAACAATTACTTTTTAGTTCTTCAAACTTTAACACCAAAAATTTTTACAACCAATAAACACACAGTTTTGAAACATTGGTCTTATTTTAGTAGGACGAGTTGAAGTAGACGTGCTACTTCGTGCGCTGAAATTTGAATTCAAACTACAATCATTCCTAACAATTCATCTGGTACATCGAAATTTCCAAATTCATCAGATAAAGAATCTTCGTTCTTGTTGATTTGCTCATTTATTTCTGACAAGTTCCCGTTCAATACCGAGGATCCAGATTGTCCTAAGACATCACTAGGGATATCTAGCATTCTTAGCAATTCATCTGATATGTCAAAATTAACAGATTCTTCGAGAAAAAAAACCTCCAATTTCCCACTACTTTGCGTTTCCTTCTTTTCTATGAAGCCTTTATTAGATATAGTGGACTTTGGTGCTCCTAGGACATTACTAACAAATGTTGTCTGTTCATCACTAGCCTTCTCATAGCGAAATAAAGAATTGGATTTATGCCCTGTGCGTTCACGGATTTGTTTCTCATTTACTGAATTTTGGAAAAGCCGAGTAGCGCATGATATTCGCAAACAGTGCGAGGTTTTTCTCTTCAACCCTGCTCTAGCACATAATTTATCAGGCAATATCTTATTCAAGCTATTTATACCAATTGCACTCTTTTCATAACCGAAAGAGCCGTTACGTTGTGGCCTAAAATAAAACGCATCTGGTTTTTCCTTTACTCATTCAGTGATTTTGCTTAGATACAATCTATACAGGCTTTGTAAACAACGCGAATGAATCTCTCCAATTTCATGGCACTTGTGCTGAATTACTCTCCAGCTGGTTTTCAAATCTTTTAATCCGCTGTGGAAAGTTTTGGATACTCTTTCATCAAATATTATGAAATCTTTTAAGATAATGTTACAAACTCTGAGAAGCCTATGTTCACTTGATCTCAGTCCAAAAAGCTTGCCATTATAGAAAAAGGCACTCAGGTGTATTATTGCCCAGCAATCCTTTTCGCCATAACAGATCTTCCTCTTCTAGTGTAACTTCATTTCGGACATCTTTCTTAGTCTTAAGATCCACGCCATTTTTAGTTGCATCTCTCATCTCGCCATCCATAACTTTGCGAAATAATGCAAACCTAAAGAAAGAGGGGAAAACATAATGAATAAATCAGCTTTCGTTACTTACTTATTTCCCTTAGGACTTTTTAGTCTTAAAATCTTGAAGTAGATAGACAAAGTATAGCTCACCTTTTATCATTCTTGTTCAGTGGATTTAAGCCACTTTTGTCGTTTAAATACCTCTTCAGACCACAAATGAGAACATATGATGTTCTTGGTGGATATCTTTCACCACTCTTTCACTTCTTCCAAAAAGCGAGTAAGCCATAAGTTCAACGTCTCAGAATTCATGCAATGCAATGGTGTAGACAATTCTTCGATTTTGGACATGTATCAAGAACAACTGAACTTAATTGCAGATTTTTAGGAGTTTTATCGCGTCTACACGTTTGCCATTCTTCGAAGAGCTTCACAGCCCATTTTGTGTTGTTTTGAGTATTCTTTGGTACAGTATTTTCGACTAAACGATATTCTTCATCCTCTGTCAAAGGCTCTCGGAATCTTCCACCGCCTTCCATCGCTAGCTGTTGTAAACGAGGACTACAAGACCAACCCTTAGTAAAACTGACGTGTTTCATATTCATGCATGACATCTAACACCCTTTATGAAGCAACCATTATTGAGTAGGATTTGGTTTTATATTCAACAAATCCCAAATGATATTGTTCTCAATGTCAATTCATATCTCGATCCCTTAATTCCTTCTGAGTCCCACAAGAATTTCTAATTATTTATTCATTTCATAAGTCGTTTACAACATTCGCGTCCGTGTTGTATCAGATCTACAATCACTCACACTCGCCTACGGCTCGTGATCGTAAATCTGATACAACACGGCCACTCATATTGTATATATTACAAAGTTAACAAAAACACTTGTATGTTTTACTTTGATGCAAGACACGTCAAATACATAAGGTTTTTAAGTATCAGACGTTAATTAATTATATTTATTTATGTATTTCACTTTTCTCCAATATATATTCGATATATATTCAATAACATCTCATTGCGCATCTCATATCATATTTTTTATATTCTTTAGGGATACAACTCAAAAAATATATAATATAAAAATACAATATCTCGAAAAATATTACTTTTTGAAGTATGAATGAACGGGTAAAGAGTTTTCATGTTTTTGCATCTAATGAGATATATTTGTATATATGTATAAATGTATACTACATCCTTCCTGCAATCGAGTGTATACACCTAATTGAAAAAACGTAGTCGGATTCGAGAAGGTCATATCATCGAAGTTAAGACCGAAAAGGATTTTGGGTACTCCGAAATGTGTATTATATTTGCATATAGACATGTAAAAATGCACAGTAGAGCAAAGTCGGTTGACCTAGATTAACAACATGCCAAAGCCATGATGCATAAAATGTGCACAGGAAGGGAAAACTGCAATGGCATAATTGTTTGTCTTCCCATGCTCCCCTTCGGTCTTAGCTTTGATGATATAACCTTTTTTGAACCCGATAACGTTTGTTTAATTAGGTGTATGCATACAAACACTAGCGTAGGGAGAGTGGGAATACCGGGGGTGGGGGAGATTTTGGGTATTATAGAGTTTACGGACTTAATACATACACGTAGGATTTAACATTTATCGCAATATCATTATACACAGTATATACTTATTCGTACATTTATAGTATATTAATATTAATTTGGAACCCAGTTTATGTATCGATGATTAAGTGCAATTTGCAAAACAGGTGGAACTGAAGTAAAACATAAGTTATTTGCCGTAGTAAAGTCGGTCCTGATTGGAAAAACCTGTGCTCGTGGCCTTGAAAATGTGCCTCAGCCTAACGGCCTCTCGAGAACAGCCTTTTCCCTGTCCGGATCAACTTTAGGATGGTAAATAATGCCAGTAACATATTTGTGCATAGAATTAGTCACTACAGACACTCAATGTGAGTGGTAAAACACGGAAACGGAAAGTGCAGAAAGCGCGGAAGGTGTGGAAAGCTAGTGCGGAAAGTGTGGAAAGCTAGTGTGGAAAGTGCGGAAAGTGCGGAGAGTGTGGAAAGTGCGGAAAGTGCAGAAGGTGTGGAAAGTGCGGAAAGTGCGGAAGGTGTGGAAAGTGCAGAAGGTGTGGAAAGTGAGGAAAGTGCGGAAGGTGTGGAAAGTTAGGAAAGTGTGGAAAGTGTGGCAGACGTTTAATTTGTGTGAAGAACGAAAGTAAATAGTCAATTTGATCGATGTTAGTTTAATATACATCACATGTACATCTGTATATGATGAAGTGTATCTTAACGTTCTTTGTTTCAGCTTTGATCTGTTTAGGGTTTTTTTCTTTTTTTTTCTTTTTTTCCCCTATACTTTTTTTCTGTTCGAGTTTCTCATTGGATTCCTTTACAGTACGGACAAATAAATAAACAACAACTTTGAGCTGTTGTCCCAGATTTGACAGATACTATTGCTTTTTCCATTTCCGTTTTGTGTGCTAGTGTTGTAAACGTCACGAGCGTTACATCTTTTTTTTTAAGAACATGGCATCGGGAAAACCTGATGACACTACGGTTTGCGGACACAGGTATTCAGACGCAAGCAAGAGAGAGGGGGAAGTGTGAGAAAAATGATAAAAGAAAAATGAAAAAAAGAAAAGATATCGATAAATAAAATGAATAAGATATATACGTAAATATTAAGGCAGCATTAGATTGACGAGTGGAAGGGGTACGTGGAAAGTGGATAAAAATAGTCGAGCGTACACATGAAAAAATATGGATATGTATCGTAGATTAGGTAGCAATGGTAGTACAGTAAATGTAAAAGTAGACCGTACAATGTACATTAGTTGGATTGGGAATAGAAACGTTATGATTGAACGTTACGGAACATGAGCTCATGCGTCGCGACGGTGTGTTGGTGAATATATATCATTTTATTATCAAAATACGAAGGCTCTGGGATAGTCGTTCGTTAGTGTTTATCATCCAAGGAAACAAAGTAGAGGTCAGCATTCGACCTACACTTTTAAGTATATTAAAAGTATATTGCTTGCAAGAAAATGCATTTTTCAAAAATGAAGTTGAAAAATATTTGAAAAGTTTCGACAAAAAGTCGTTGTTTTGAGAGCATGAAGCCGACAAAAAAAAATTAAAAAAAGATTAAACACCGAAGGTCTTCACATGGTATCGCAAAAAATACCCTATTTTTCTCTGTTCTTGGCTAGTTAATAGAAATATCTACTAAGAATAATTTTTTTTGCAAGAAAAGGGATTTTTATCGTTATTTAGTGCGCTAACTTACCTTTTATCACAAAAAAGAAAACTACCCTTATCCGCCATCTTTTTTTAAATTCTTGCATAGCTAAAATCCTGTAGAAAGCCAGCCACTGGCCGATTTGATCACGTGACCTCTTAGTGCAAGTCGTCTATCGCATACTTGAACTGCATTATTTGCATTATTACATTCGTTTGCGCTTGTTAAGTACCCCGTTTAGTGCCAGTGATGTCCCGCCATTTTCCCCAGAGATTTCCCGCCTTGTTCCCAGAGATTTCGCTCCTTAGTTATTTCTGAGATTTCCTTTGAATCCAGGACCAAACTTGTGTGTAAATAGTTCAAGGTGAACGACGGTTCTTTTTCGTCACGCGTTCGCGCGGATGGAAAATGTGTAGTACTACTCATACGCGTGAAACAGTTTGCGTTTTGTTTTTGCTTTCGTAATTGTTACAAGCAAAAAATCTTTATTAGCCGARTATAAATGATACAAGAAGAATGTGCTTATGAATACCGTGGTTGCTTTGTTTCGTCCCTCGCACCAGAAAAGAAAAGAAAGATAGATACTTTAGCCCGTTGTAGAATAGTAAACCATTGCATCCAACAAAGTTCATAAACTCTAGGCTGACAATGATACTCACAGTGCAAAACTAACAAACTCTAAACCAAATGACAGCCGAGGTTAGTTTTTGATCAAATAGGACTGAAGATGTGAATTAAAACAGACATTCTACCTCCTGTTTGCTATTTAAAGTAGCTTCGTCAATCTAGATCAAGTGACTTTATACTTATCTGACATCCTGAATGACAGACGTCAGAGATCATGTTTCAAACAAAGGCCAGTATTTGATCTTGTGCGGCAAGGGTTATATATTAGCTAACAACGCCTCATGCGGTAAAGAAACCATGCAAGGCAGAGGCATATGTCCTCGTCTTCTTGACGTCTTGTTTCTTCTGGTTCTCTGTTTGATATCATCTGTCTGTACAGCCAAGAATAATGCCTGTAGCAAGTGTTCCTGTAATCCGAATGGGTTGGTAAGCTGTTTTGATCTGGAAGAGTTTCCTCCTATTGCAACATTTCCAAGAAACACTACGACATTGTAAGTAGATTCCTTAACCCCATACTTAGATATGACTGAATTTAATACGAGTAAAACTAAATTCTTATAACATTCTAAACAAAAATATTCACTACTTCAAAGTACTTTATTTTAATTCCAAAAGGAATCCTTCCTGATCCAAAACCTATAATCTGCAGTTACTCGTTCGTAAATGGCATGTTTACGGTAATCTTTGAACTTTGGAGGAGTCTATCTAAGCAACCCTTACGGACATTCCTTCCAAGAGATGGCTCGCGTATCGCAACTTGTGTTTCGTAACATAGAAAGTATTCCTTCATGTTTGTAATCCTTATGTAAACTATTTTGCATCCGGAATGTCTTCAAGTTTCTTTTCGAATGTCCATAAGTCACTGTAAAATACATGAATGAAAACAACTAAGAGAGTAAAAAAATCACTATAGAATAAATGAATGAAAACAAATAGCAGGTAAAAGAACGAAACTTTTTTTACTGTAGCTAAGCGAAATATAGTTGCTCTTTTAGCGAAAACAGATGTTTATATTTTAGAATGTGTAGCTATGAATATAGTGTTTATATTTTGTTCTCGATTCCAATCTTATTCGAATCAAAATCAAGTTCCATATCGATTGAAGACTCGTGGAGAAGTCACACAAAATTAAGGTATTGATAAGATAATAAGATTGGGTAGAAGATGGGAAAGAACTCAGAGGAAAAAACGTGTTAGTGTGCAGAATGAAATAGCAAGAAAAATATCTATCTAAATTGCACGATAAAACCATATGATTTACTTTTAATGATATACATGAAAAAATTGAAAAGCAAAATGAAGTATTTTTTGAAGAAAAAGCAAAAATCTCAAGAAAAAGCTATGAGCGCGCGCTCGATGACGTTATGATTGCTTCAAAAACGAGCGAGCTCTCTTCAACCAAAAATTTGTTCAAAAACACTGTAACTTTTTCAACAACTTCCAAGTGAAAAATTGAGAAAGTCCAAGAAAACTGAAAAATTCGCTTGTCACATTATGTGACTTATGCAGTGATCTTTTCATGATTTTCGTGCATAGTTCTATAAGCAGGGCGAAAAAGTTATTTAAAAGTCTAGCGATGTATATTCTTATGCGAGTACTGTACACCGCTTCACGAGATCACGATAATTTTAGCATCATAATTTTACCAGATGTTCTTCGATTTCATATCAACTGACTTACATCTTCTTAATCAAACACACAAACTGCGAGTGACATTTATATTATAAATTAAGTTACTGACTTAAAAATTGGTTTCTAATGATCAGCGAGAACGTTTTGTCTTTTGTTAATTCAACTTGTGTTTTCCCACGGAGGGAAACGAGGTTTTTAATTTCCAGTAAGCAGCGTAGTGCCCCAAAAAAATAAATAGGGTTACTTTTCTCTTGATTTCTCTGAAGTTTTAGAAAAATAAAGAGGGAAAAGATATCCAGAAAGGATGAAGTGAAACCACGCCTCAAGAACGAGCAAACATTATTAGCACAAAATATTTCGGGATTAAAATCTAAACTCGTTTGAAACTTTTATATATTGGCTATAAGTTTCACTGCAACATCTTCGACGGCGCACCTCGTGTGCAATGATAGCTGGATCAAAAGCGCAATCAGGAAGATGATGAAAAAAATCAAAGAACAAATCCTAATAAAAGGCCACCTTTTGCATCGTTTTTACTACGACTACATGAATGCCTTGCACTACTTCTTCTTCCTAGTTGATTAGCACCATTTTTTTWAAACTATTGTCATGAGCAAATAAAAATTTAACTACATTATGCTTGGCATAATAAAAACCGGATAGCAAATTTGAACTCTGAGTTCGTGACAAAAGATCCATGACGTACATCCAGATAGCCGTAATTATAACGTTGTTTACTAATACAGGCTTTGAAGCATTATTTCTTAATTCCTCTCTTTTGAAAGATAGTCTTTCCGTGCCGAACAGAACGAGATAGAATAACACTGAATTAGCATCTGTCAGAAAAGATTTATTTTGTACAACGACTGTTTAGTGGCTTCCGCTTGGAACTACAAACACGTACTGTCAATAACGAATCAATACATTCGAATGTCCTATGATTTATGCTCGCAATTCGGCAGCTGTGTTGGTACCATATCTTTTTCATTTTCTAAACGTAAAAAGGTGTTCTATTTTGGTGTTATACTGATCTGTACTCACTTCGGCAACGCATGACCGACCAATCAACCGACCGACCGACCGACCACGAACCGACCGGCTGACTAACAAACTTACTGTCGACTGACTCACTGATTTATAAATCGAGCGATCGTTCGTTTGATTGGCTATTTAATATGATGCATGTTGGCGATGTTTTATACTGAACTCGAAAGTACCTTATCTTTCAGGTATGTGTCCAATTCAGGAGAGATATCTATCCCCTCTAACATACTACAACACCTGGACGAATTGAAATATTTGTAAGTATTGTGCGGGAAATATTTTTGTTTGTTACTCTGCAAACAAACGTTTCTCTTGAAAACTTCTTTCTTTTCTTTCTTTTCAAGAACGTTGAATAACAATAGAATCAAAAACATCACTAAATTTAGAGTCAACAATGGATATTCCAGTGTGATGTAAGTATGCCGTAAAGTAATCATGGTTTCTAATGGCAATCTTCCAACCTTTGCAAGATTATGTAAAAGTTGGCGTTCACGGAAACTTTCTAAAGTAGTAAAATCGGTGTGTGTGTGTGTGTGTGTAGGGGGAGGGGGGAAGGGGCATGTCAAATTACCTAATGGGGGGGGGGGGGACACTACCGCAATAATGTTAATTTTCCAACGGTAGCCACCCAACCCTGAGATGTTACCAGCGATGTTGCCCTTGCTTGGAAACTAGGTAATGACATCATTACCGCACGGCATAATCAGCGGATATTGAATTGTGAGTAATTCTGTCTGCGTGGGTGTTTCAAGTAGAATACCCATGATCTATATTCCGAGAAGGATAAACTAATGACTAGCGGTTGCTAGTTAGGACTGCATGGGTGTGTTTAATACCACAAGTTAGTAACAAGGAAGCTTAAACGACGCGTAAAAGGAAACCTAAACGCAAATCTTAAAAACGGAAATGTACTGACGTTCAATGCTTTACTCTTACGAAGGACTGATATCCGATCGCTAAACGTACGACAGTACAGTTCCAAACGATTTCGAACAATGTTTCACGATAACAAATTTTCTAAGGATTGGCAAGGTAGTTTTGAAAAAATAAAACGATAAAAATTAGGCGGGTCAAGGTGCCTGTCAAATATCAAATTTTTGAACCCAAAAGACCGATCGTAAAGTGTGACCTCTGGTGTAGTCAGTGTGTACTTAACGTTTTTGGCTATGATCGAAGTAAAACTTTCAAGGGATGCAGAAGTAAACTATCCTGCGTAGCGGCCCAAATTGGGTAGAAGGGAGATGGAGACCTTTGGAGGAGCGGTCGAGGGGGAATGGGACCCCAAAATGCGTTTCTATACGCAGGCTAGAATCATGACAATCATGACAATCATATTCACATATTTGAATGTTACTCCAATATTAGAAAAAACTTTTTTTACTACGTCTGCTGCCCAGAAGTGGTCATGTTGCCATGCATAGCGAAACATTTGTTGGTCCCTACCCCCCCCCCCCCCAAGGTTGCTCTGTCGCCCATGGGGTATGTATAAACATCTTCTAAAATCCTATGTATTTTATATGTCATTACTTATCTCTTTTTCTTATTTTATATCGGCTTTAGAACTCTAAGTTATACTCACAACATCATAGAGACCATTGAAAATGGCGCCTTTGATGACCTTCAACAGCTTTCTCTATTGTAAGTCAGACAACCATGCYATTTATATTCACGATGAATATATATATTTATATATAAACTATATGCACGATATCTTTAACAGAACATATTCTTGCATGAGGTTAATTTTGTCAAGATGATGTTAGTATAGGGGACGATTTACAACAACGATATTTCGCGATACGACTTGTCTAATTTTTAATACATATACGAGTCGACCTTTCACGCAACCGCGTATCGCGAAAAACCGTCGTCGCGAATCATCCATGTAGCATCAACTTCAAGACATTGTGCATGCGAAACCATATTTTATCTTTTCAAAATCCTTAATAACTTTTTTAAGTAATAAGATAACCGGCCCCCATTCGTAATCTCACTCTCGGTTGGATCGACATTTTGCGCACAAGCACACATGCATCCCGTGAAACATGTGTGGTTCACTCATGAGTTCACCAACTACATAAGGGGTCAGTGATTTATACTAACTCCGGAAGTGTTAGAATTGGAATCGCAATCTTAGTTGTTTTCTTATTTTCTCTTAGTTGGAGTTCTGTTATATGTGCGCTCCATACACCCCACCCCCACCCCCACCCCCACTCTTTAAAAAGTGGTCTATCGTCCTGTCTAAACTTGATAACTAAAACGTAGGAAGCGACGGAAGCAAAGCCATTATGAAACGTCGTGTCCATGTAGGTATTATGTTCATCATTTTTCAGTTGACTTTCACTAAGCTGCATGCCCTTACGATTCTAATTCTGATTCTGATTCCTATTCCGATGCTCGGACCAATGAGCTAGCGCTCTGACTATAATAAATAACCGGCAATTAGTATAGGTAATAGGACTATACATGCTGTCCAATAAGGAAATAATTGGAGGAAACAATTTCGGGGAGAACTGACAAAATTGGAAGAGGCCGATAGGCTGAGTCCAATTTGGCAGTCAGAGAATTCTTTTGAATTCAATTTCCAAATTGAAGAGATAACGAGCTAAAAACTAATGTGAGCTACGTCGGTGTTTCTAATGAAACAGTAATGATAAAAAAGTAAATTATACACCGTGAAAAGATGAAAAAACTTACTGACGTTTCGGACGCTACTCCTTCGTCGGAGTAAAAGAGCTCTTTAACTCCGACGAAGGACTAGCTTCCGAAACGTCGGTAAGTTTTTTCATCTTTTCACGGTGTATAATTTACCTTTCTATCATTACTATTTCCGAATTGGACAGACATGTAGCCCTATTGCAGATTAATTATATCATCCCAAACTATACTAGACTATAGTAGACTGATTCCATAAGTCATAGTTTCCCTTGAAAGAATGCAAATGGAAACGATCCAAATTAATCTTTAATTTGGACAGGAAAGAGAATTTGAAAATAATACAATATTTGCTCATATGGAATTATAGAGTAATAATACAATTAATAGTAGTATCGTTAAAGGAACAACATGGTTTGTTTGGTTCATCTATTACTGATAATACTCCTGGGGTAGCCAAGAGTATACATCACTATATACATGTTCACTTTTTCATATTATTCTTATGCATGCTATTAACATTATCTTTTATTCCAGGGACCTTTCAAATAACAGACTGAAAGAAATTCCTATCTTTAACAAAAAGTCTTCAATTACCAAACTGTAAGTAACGATCATAGGGGGGAGGGGCGCTTAATCATACTCGTCGGCTGCATATATCATATTTACCATGCAGCATTGTGATTGCCTTGGTTGTATGTGGTGTTTGTGTTTGTTCGTGGTTGTCATGGCCTGGTGCCTCCGTTGCCCACGATCTTCTCTGATTTTAAACCACAGCGCTGCATGTGACAATATATTCCAGTTGCCTCTTATTTATTCATTCATTCATCCATCCATCCATCCATCCATCCATCCATCCANNNGACATGACACATTACAGCAGCAGCAGTACAACAGCAGTAGCAGCTAATGTACTTTCAAAAAACCTCCAGAAAGCTTTATTCTCACCAAAAAAAATCATTTATAGCTAAAATAACTACGAAATACTGTATATTATAAGCTTTATAAGCTAACATAAAAATGAGAGATTTTATCAAGAATTAAAATTCAAAAAAGCTTCACACTTTTAAGAGTCGGCGGGCAGCAAAATTCATYAAGAAATATTGTATAACAAAAGGGGTTTTTAATACGGATTCATTCTTCAACAATATTTTTTTTAATAGAAGTTATTGAACGAAGCCGAAGGAGCGAAGACAAAATGAAGATTTTTTTAAAGGCATTTCAGCCACAATTTTCAGAGTAAAATACTAAATACTTACATAGTGTTGGTAAAACTTTGAAAGCCGTGGTTTCCCATGATTATTGAAGATTARAATAGCTTTAATCATGACGAAATTGGAGTTGAAAACTGGACGAGGAACTAAAACAGGAAACAAAATGGCGACGAGCAGGACCTTCCCGGCATGCTGTGGGACCTAGGCTATTCCCACAGGGATCCCATAAGTAAGTGTAGTCTTCTCTCCTCTCTCTTCTACTCCTTCTCCTCTTTTTTTTATATTTATTTATTTATTTATTTATTTATTTATTTATTTATTTTCTTTTTTTTATATTTATTTATTTATTTATTTATTTATTTATTTATTTATTCGTCAGTGAGGGATTTTCATATTATCTGTTTACATCGTTATTTTCGTTATTTAGTTATCTGCGTGGAAACCCTGGAATAACCAAATTATCCAGACAGAGCCTAGAGAATTTACCGCTGCTCGAAAGTCTGTAAGTCATAATATCTGTACTTAGCAGTTTTAATCCATAATAATTTAATTATCTAATTATCTAAGGGGTGGTATGAGTAATACAGGACAAAGAGGTACCCAAATTGTTATGCAAAGACTGTCACGCAAAGACTGGGTGTGACTTAATGTACTGAGTCAATAGTCGAATTAGAAATTAGAGAAATATAGATACAAAATACAGAGAAACCAAGTGAAGAAACGGAGAGAGAGAGAGAGAGAGAGAGAGAGAGAGAGAGAGAAAAACTCCAGAAGCTGAGGCGTCGTTTGGACTTCGGACGGCCGATCCGCCCATATGCAGAGGGGTTGGACACGGCGCGCGAGGCATGACGGTAGTGAAGCTGACCAATTAGAAACCTCTTTTTCTAAAGTGGGGGAAATGATCCTACTAGGTGTAGGATTCATTCTTTAAGAACTCTTTTGGCTAGTCCGAAGGCATCAGGGGAGAAAATATTCTATCTAGTTTGTTGTTTGGTTCATGGTCATCATGGTTATGTTTTGTTGTTTATATACTATCTAGAGCAGATTCCTTTCCATTACAAAGGAAAGTGGCTGATTTGGTCGTTTCTAATCTAATYGTACGTCTGGTGTCTGGTTTGTTATTAGGTTCATGGAGAGTACAGGGATCCAACAAATACCAGCTGGGATATTTAGAAAGAATTCAAGACTTATCAGCTTGTAAGGATGTAATTTCCACGCGTTCTTGCCTTTAATTTCGATTCACCTGTTCGGCGCTGGCCGTCAGGGTTATAAATATTGTTACGGTATTTAAACCAAGAAGTTCGTTCTCAGCATATTTCCGTACGAATGTACTGACTTTTAAATAAATCATTTCTTTATGATTTATTTAGTTAGCTCTCTAAGTACAAGCAAAATATCATTTTCCTAACTTGATTTAAGCTTTCCTTACTGCTGTTTAGAGAGCTAGGGCCGAAAAGATGAATCCCCTGATTTCCTAGTTTTAACTTTGATGTTCAAGTCATTCTGTTATTCTGCCGCTCTGTCCTGAGCTACACAGAGCAAGTCTGTTCAGTTATTAAGTCAATGTTTATATGATGTATTTTTACAGGTATTTCAATAAAACCAACACACTTGAACAGATTAATGAAGATGCTTTCGATGAAGATTCGCCTCTCAAAACATTGTAAGTTCAATTACGACTTTGGCGCCGCGCATTGTTTTTGATTCACTGCGCATGCCCAGCCGATACCTTATGAAAAATTGCTGCAACATTCATGGTGTTTTGAGCAAGGGGATTTTTGGCTTTTTCAGTCAAATCTCTTTTTGCTGTAAAAATGAATAAATACATTCTAACTTGCAAAACATTGCCCTTGAGATAATATGAGTATTAACATTATTTATCATAGTATTTTTTGTTATTGATCGTTAGAGTACTGGATGAGACCAGCGTCACATCTTTACCAAGCCGTGGTCTCAAGAATCTTCATGTTCTAAGTCTAAAGAAGGTCCCTGATCTGTGGCAGCTCCCTCAACTGGATAGTATACGCGAGGTTTACCTGAGCTCTTATAATGGATTTTTGTGTTGTGAATTTGAAAGTGGAAAAAAGTACGGCAAAGATTGTACGATGCAAAAACCTTCAACAGAAAAAAACAACGCTCGAACAACAGCCTCTACTACGTCTGGTTTTGACGGTGGCACGTACCCATCGACTCAACCTCACACTACGTCTGGATTTGGTGGGGGAGGCTTCCCTGGTGGAGGAGGCTTCCCTGGTGGTGGTTCAAATCCATCGACTCAACCCCACACTACATCTGGATTTGGTGGGGGAGGCTTCCCTGGTGGAGGAGGCTTTCCTGGCGGTGGTTCAAATCCATCGACTCAACCTCACACTACGTCTGGATTTGGTGGGGGAGGCTTCCCTGGTGGAGGAGGTTTTCCTGGCGGTGGTTCAAATCCATCGACTCAACCTCACACTACATCTGGATTTGGTGGGGGAGGCTTCCCTGGTGGAGGAGGCTTTCCTGGCGG